TGACTTGTGTCATTCCAATTAATGTGATGTCTAATATTATATATTCCATTAAATGTAGTCTAACAACATATTTAAGAAAATATTAAAATTTCTTTTTATTATTGTCATGTGTCTGATATTACCTTATATTTTCTCATGCATCTTACTTTTATTTTTTTACAGCTCAATCTTAAAACAATTTAGGAACCATGTGCATCTTCTAATATAATGTGTTGTGTGATTATGTCTTTCCAATTAATACTATGTTTGATGGTGCATATACCATCAAATGCTGCCCAAATTCTTTTTTCCAGAAAATATAAAAATTTTATAGTTTTGTGGAACAATGTTCATGCACCATCTTATAGTTTCATGTGCGTTTTACTTTTGTCGCATTACACGATAATTTTCTAAAATTTTATAAATCATATGCATCTATTAATGTAATGCATTGTTTCTGATTTATGTATTTCTAATTAATGTAATGTTTGATGTTGCATATTTCATCAAATATTGCTCAACCACACATTTTAGAAAAATATTAAATTTTTTTCTTATTTGGTGGATACATGTTCCAATGTTAAGTCAGACGAAGACGGAAGCAATTCCCAGCAAGGTTTTGAATGAGAAAAATATTATACATATTGTTATTACTAACAAGTGTGTTAGTGTTTCAGATATAACTACAGGCAAACTAAAGAATAGAGAATATACATCCATACCAGAATCAAAAGACATGAGTCAAGCATGGGATAAAGGCTGAGCAAACGAAAGGGATACATCAGATGAAGACACTCACAAACACAGACACAAAAATAGAATGGACACGAGCAACCAAGATGAAGGGAAAAAGCTAACAAGACGTTAGATGAGGAGATCAAACGAAATCAAGCCCAACACAAGAAAGAAAACAATAAAGCCTTAGATGATACAAGACCATGGACGATGATAGTGAACCAGACGGTGACTCAAAGATATAGATGAAGACAAAGAAGGCTAGATTGCGTCTGAAGACATAACGACATGAACTACCTAGCATACATACTCTCAGAAAAACACATGAAGTCATCAAAATATAAAAAATAAGAAAAGGACAATAGACTAGCACCTATCCACAGATCAAAACTGTGTGTGTCAGTGCAAGTACACCTACCAGACAAGAAAAGACAACACCTTTGCAGCAACAATATCAGGGAAGTACAGAGATATCATAATATCAGTCATAGAAGCAAACAAATGGTACAAAAGATCTCGAGGAGCTCAGATTCAGCAAGCAAACATTTAATGCAAAATCAAAGGCATTAAATACAACAATCAATGAAGACTGTACAAACTAGATGAAAGAATAAGATGATTGCTAAACAAGCATAAAAATGAAGTTTGCTCACGGATGGAAGATGACTACTACTAGAATGAGACACTAAAGTATCAGACGAAGCTCATCAAGAAAAGTCAAGGCAAGACAAGTCGTACAAACCAGATAAGTCGAGACAAATGTAGACAAATGAAGCAAATGACATAAGAAACTGAGCGTCAAAAGATGAATAGTTAGAATATAATATGTGCCACATGATCACAAGATAACCAGACAAGGTTGTGACAAGTGCAACTATTCTAAAGCTCAGATCAGACAAGACATATGTCTAAGGTTAGAAGAAAGTCAACTATGCATAAGAAAAAAGACAGCATAGACTGAGAGACACTCCAGACGGAAACAAGGTCGATCCACACGCTTGACCAGATCAAGAAAAGCCAAAGCATTAAACTCAGACGTTGAGACAAAGGTAAAAATTGAGATGCACAGAACAAACAGATGAAGACGAAGACTGCCATAAAAGTATATGAAGAATTAAGTCTCAAGAGATAAACCAAGGCATCGTCTACAGTCACACAGAAGCTCTCAACATAAAATGCGTGATCTAAATGAAGAAACGAAGAAGAAGAGAAGCATACAAAAGCAAAAGCATGCATGTGTTAGAAAAATGGATTACTTTTTTTGAAAAGGACAATGACTATATTGCGGCATGACCAGAAAAAGACAAATAACTTATAGGTCTCAGATAAAGTCAAACACCGCTGACAATAGGATAAAGAAGAATGCACGCAATGTCTAAAAATAAGAAGCAACATTTAATGCAAGACCAAATGCATTAAATGAAAAGATCAAACTAGCCATGAACGAATATATCTACTTCAACGAATACTTGCAACGGGATATATTCAAAATCAAGCAACGGGCAGATTTCCACTATACCATATATATATACCTACTTCAAACCTTAAGAGGTTGGCTTTTGATAAGAAGAAAAAGAGTGAATCAAGCCCACAAGACAGAGACCAGAGATAAGCGTTCTTAGTCATTTGTACAATGTAATATTGGATTTGTATCTCTATAGACTAAGGTGTTTTATATGTCAATTGTGGACAAACCTTAGTGAGTGTTATAAACCTATGTATCCTCTCCATGAGAGTAATCTAAATACTCAAACACAAGTCTCTATAAGACTAGGGTAACAAGCCTTAGCGAGTGTAGAAAGTTTCCAATCCTCTCTGTGAGAGTAACCCAAACACTCAAACTTGAATATAAATCTATCATGTGTAAAGCCTGAAGAGGCTAGAGAATACTTGTAAATTCCGGAGGGGTTTGTCAAAGAATACTCAGAAGTGGCTGATAAGAAAATACTAGCGTTGGTGAGTGAAGCCGACGGGCCAGGAGTGGTCGAGAATACTTGGAGAACCAGAAGTGGTTTAAGAATACTAGCGTTTGTGAGTGAAGTCGACGGGCCAGGAGTGGTTGAGAATACTTGGAGAACCAGAAGTAGTTTAAGAATACTAGCGTTGGTGAGTGAAGTCGACGGGCCAAGAGTGGTCGAGAATACTCAAGGCTAGGAGTGGTCGAGAATACTCAAGGCCAGGAGTGGTTGAGAATACTCAGGTCTAGGAGTGGACGATAATACTCAATGTTCTTCATTTCATATCTAGTGGAACCCTTCATTTGAAGGAGACTGGACGTAGCTCAGATGAGCGAACTAGTATAAAATGATTGCATTCTTTTATTTACTTAGACGCAAATCTTCCTCACCGATTAAACCTTTGTGAAAGACTTCGTCTAATGTTTATATATCTTTAAAACAACTTTTAGATGAAGACGTTAACTTTGCTTAACAAACTTATTACACTGAAAGTTTCATCTGCTGCTTATCCTTAAACGAAACTATCTTGAAAAGGAAAATACAAGAACCTCAATCATTATTGTTATATGAAATTTTCTTTCAGCAGATGATAAATCCCTCAGACCTAGTAATCCTGTGTTAAGAAAAATCTGCATAACTGTCTGATATTCAAAAGGGCACTGGACGAAGAACATTACTCTTGCGAAAACGTTTTTAGAATACCTTCGTACACATACACACATATTCAACCCCTCTCTATGTGTTTTTCATGTCTAACTTCATCCAACAATACCTTGTAATTTTTAATTTTGTCCAACTTCTACTACTTTACATTATCTTATAAAACTTAAGAATCCATTCGCCTCTAATGATATGTGTTGTTGTGACTTAAGCCTTTCTAATTAATATAATGCATGCTTATTGTTTCATGTACCATCAAATGGAACTCAATTACACATATTTCAATAATAAATATTAAAATTTACTTTTTTTTTTGTTTTACGGTTTGATCTTTAAAAATTTTAAAAATTGCATCTTTTAATGTAACGTGTGTTGTTATGTAATTTGCGTAATTCCAATTAATATATTAATATTAATGAGACTATTTATAAGAAACATTTTGCACAAGAATGTTTTATCTATTTTTTTTTATGAAAATATTTTTAAAATTGTTTCTTAAGCTCCTATGTATTTTAATATATAAATTTTTTATTTTTAAATTAATCTTCAATATTTTTTAAATAAATTATTGATATTTTATAAAAAATAATCTTGTATCTTATTATAAATTGTTTATCATAAATCTTAATGTATGATAAAATATACTTATTTATTTTAAATTTTAATAATAATATATTTTATATATTTAAAATTATTTATTTATTATAATTTTTAATTGCAAAAATTAAAATGTATGTTAACTAGTACACATGTTAAAACATTAATTAGAAGTAAAATAACCATGAACCATCTTACTTCAAGAACGATTTTAGAAATCTTTAACTAAAATATTTTAAAAAGTTTTCTCTAATCTCATATTTCTAACAATTTATATTTATT